CATCCATTACTGGGGAATACGTTTCCTCAAAATCAATTCCCGGTCTCTGAGAAAAACCTTGGGCTACTAATCAGGCTTTATATCGTGTTATTTCATTCTTTTCATTTACTTTTCTCACGAATACCCACTTATACCCAACATGATTTATATTCTCAGGCGTTATGACTATAGGTCCAAAGACATTCCTTTTATTTAGGGAGAGTAATTCAATTTCAGTGGCCTTCTTCCATTCCTCCCAATCATGTCTTTTCATACATTCTAAAATGGACCTTGGATCAGGATCATCACTTTCGTGATCTATTTCTTTGGACACGGAAAAGGAGAACATTCCATCAACATCTTTTATCTTATTTCTGATCCATAACTTTTCATCTTGGACGTAGTTGATGGAAATCTCATACCTTTCTGTTCCCTCCTCGTCATCTGGATCCTTATATTTATTTGATTCTTCTTGAACCTTTTCATCTATGTCTTCTTTCAGACATTTTTCAGTATCAGGTTCTTCTTGAACCTTCCCTTTTTGCTCAACCAATTTATTTTTCTTTCGGGGATTTTTATCTTTAGAACCCACAGGTCTCCCCCTCTTTAACTGAACCCTAGGCTCATTTATTGTATCTCCATCAGTGTGTTCTTTAGGAACAACAACTCTTGATGGGACTTTTTCAGCGGGTATATATGATTTCGTCAGCCTTTTCGTATCTGTGACGCATCTGGTAACTGGTTTGACAAATTATTCAAATGCACAATTTTCTGAACCTCCAGCTCTCTTTGATTCGTAGGGGATCAAGGTGTAACAATGATGGTGTACACCAAGTAATCTGTTTAGGAATTTCTCTAATTCCTCCTCCTAACGCTGGAAATTCTTCTTCATTAAAATGGCAATCGGAAAATCGTGCAGTAAACATATCACCAGTTACTGGTTCCAGATATCTTATTATACTTGGTGCCACATAACCCACATATACTCCCAATCTCCTTTGTGGGCCAATTTTTGTTCTTTGTGGCGGAGCTATCGGAACATAGACCGCACACCCAAAGACACGGAGATGGGATACATCTGGCTCATGCCCAGACGCCAATTGTAATGGGGAGTACTTATGATATGCACTCGGTCTTAGCCGAATTAGTGCATCCACATGCAAAATAGCATGACCCCATACTGAAATTGGGAGCTTTGTTCTCAAGATCAACGGCCTTGCAATCAACTGCAACTGTTTAATTAATGACTCGGTCATGCCATTCTGCGTATGAACATGGGGCACTGGATGCTCTACATCAATCCCCATTGACATACAATAATCATTAAAGGCTTGTGATGTAAATTCACCGGCATTATCAAGCCTTACTTACTTAATGGCATATTCTGAAAACTGCGTTCTCAGCCTTATTATTTGGGCAATGAACTTTGCGAAAGCCGTATTTCGTGTTGTCAAAAGACACACATTTGACCATCTACTAGATGCGTCAATTAATACCATGAAATACTTAAACGGCCCGCACGGTGGGTGGATCGGCCCACATATATCACCATGTATTCTTTATAAAAACATTGGTGATTCATTGCCTATTTTTTGCTGGTGATGGCCGAGTTATAAGTTTTCCTTGAGAACATGCTTTACATGTAAACTCGCCCGTCTGCAAAATTCTTCCGTTTTTCAACGGATGGCCATTTGAATTTTGCACTATTTTTCTCATCATGACTGAACCAGAATGTCCTAGCCTCTCATGTCAGATTTTAAATGTATCAGTAAACTTCATGTTTACCACGGCGTAGGACTCAGTCACGTTTATTCTTGTACAATATAGTCCAGCGGATAACTTTTTTCACTCTTCCAATATATGTTTCCACTCGGACTTAATGCAAAGAAATTCAATGCCATCTTTACACATAGTCTCAATATGGTATCCATTTCTTCGGATATCCTTGAAACTTAACAAGTTTCTATTAGACTCGGGGGAGTATAATGCATTACTTATTTCAAATATTGTCCCCCTTGGCATTGAAAATTTCACTCTTCCAGAGCCCATTATAATCTTTGCATTACCAGATATTGTACTTACGCTTCCAGCGTAATCTTTTATTTTAAGACTGGAGAAATATTTCTTATCTTTGATTATCGTGTGCGTCGTAGCACTATCTGCCAAACACATATCTCCATCCATAGTCTCAAAGTTTGGCATTCTTTCTGAAAACATGTATTATTAAACTTATATCACATAACATAAAACATGCATTACTAAACAAAAAAAAACATAACGTATATATTACAACAAAAGATATAGATACTATAATACAGTAAACTTATATCACATCGATTTTATATTATTCATCAATACTCTCTGGCTCAACCAGAAAGTCTGATACGTCGAGATGAGTATCATCATTTAAACCATGAAAGGATGGCTCGGGTTCATCAGAGATGAAGTTTGTTTCACCTCCTACTTTTTCTTTTCCCTTTTGGGATGCTCTATACAGATCGGCTAAATGTTTTGGCGTACGGCAAACATGTGCCCAATGCCCTTTCATACCGCATCTGTAGCAAACTCCTGTTTGCTTTTTATCATCCCGGCCCCTTTCACCTTTTTCATTTTCGTGGAAATCTTTATTATTTCTTTTATCATATGGACAGAATCTTCTTCCTCGTCCTCTTCCACGACCATGATAACGGTTTCGACCGCGTCCACGACCTCGTCCTCTCGAATTATTATAACTGGATGATGCAACATTTGCTTCAGGGAATGGAGCAGATCCAGTGGGATGAGCCTGATGTTTTAAAGTCACGAGTTGATTATTCTCCTCCGCTACAAGGAGGACTTGCATCAACTCCGAGTAATAGGTATATCCACTCGCCCGGTATTGTTGGTGCAGAACTATATTTCCAGGATGGAACGTGGAGAGAGTTTTCTCAATCATATCATAATCACTTATTTTCTCTCCACATAACATCATCCTAGATGTAATTCCGAACATAGCGGAATTAAACTCACTAACACTTTTATAGTCCTGAAACCGGAGATGGATCTACTCGTGTTTAGCTTTCGGTAAGATCACATATTTCTGGTGATCGAACCTCTCTTTTAAAGATTGCCAGAGGTCCAAAGGTTCCTCTTTCGTAATATATTCATCTTTTAAACCATCATGTATGTGGTGTCGTAAAAATATCATGGCTTTAGCCTTTTTCTCATCCGACACCATTTTTGTATTATCGATGGTTTCCAAAAGCCTGATTCCTCTCAGGTGCATCTTTGCACCCACTGCCCAGGTCATATAATTATTTCCCATGATATCCAGGGCATTTATTTCGAGCTTTGTCAGATTCGACATGATAACTGTATTAAGAGAATAATAATATATAAATATAATAAAGACAGAAATTTAAATGTGGAATTTAAATGCACAAATTAAAAGCATAAAATTAAAGCAAAAATTAAATTGCAGAAATTTAAATTGCAGAAATTTAAAAGCATAAATAAAACGGGAGGCTTAGCTTTCCAAATGATCCGAGAAGACATAGTCTACCATGTTGATCACTTTTATCAAGGTTTGAGGAGACATAGTCTGCCATGTTAACCTTTTCTTTTTATTCAAGGTCCGAGGAGACTTAGTCTACCATTTTTGACCTTTCATTTTTATTAAAGATCCGAGGTGACATAGCCATCCATTTTGATCTTTTTTTATTCACGGAGGCAAAGTCTATCACGTGTTTCTCTGATCGTGACGGCATAGCCATCTTATCGATCACTCGGGGAAGGCAACGCCTATCATCCCAAAAAATAAACGGAGAAGGCCTAGCCTCTTACTCCGAAACAATAAAAAAATTACAATAATAAAAATTATTGAAATACATAAATTAAACATTACCTCACCGGTATAACCTTATTTGATATATGATAAGAACTTCGTCCTGATAACGTGTTATATAATAAAAGGTGAAGTTATATTGATATAACTTAGATTAAATTATATGCATGAGAGTGATGAGACAAAGAGAGATAGAGTAGTGAGAAGTTAGAAGTTTTTATTCACTTCTGCTCTTTACAAAATGATCGTGAACTCATCATTATATAGGGAGGTGAGTCGGTCAGTTTTTACTTCCTTATGAAGTAAATAATATTCTAATAAATATCTCAAAATAGATAAGCATTATCTGATATTTAACAATTTCCAAATGTATTTCCAAACAATTATTGGAACCTAAAGCGTGCCACCGACCACTTGCTTTTGATTGTACCAAACAAAGAGAAACCTTAAAAAATAAAATAGTATAACAAAAAAAACAAATCAGCATAGGCTAAAAGCAAATACAATTATACAGTGGAAACTATATAATTACTGTCTACCAGTAAAATCGAAAGAGACAATAAGTGGAAACTATATAATTACTGTCTACCAGTAAAATCGAAAGAGACAATAGGCCTGTTCGTTTTGAGATCGGCGCGTCAATCAAAATTAAAGGAATAACGTGGCCGTAGTTTATGATTTGGTGAAGGAACTTTGTGTTTCTTGTCTATGGGATGAGAGAGAACATATAAATATGGACACTGTTTATTTTAGCGATAACGGAACCATCAAATTCCTTCCTTTACTTTGCCGCTGCGTCTTCTTTTTTATACTCCGACAAGATAATCATGACTAATTTTCAGTTGCTGACGTCAGTAGCAGCGATAACAAAACAAACAGGGCCAACGTTCAGAGTGGAAAGTGACATTTATTCACAAGACAAAAGGTTCCAACTTTAGTGCCGGGTTTGAGAACTATAACACTGCGCGATCGTACAGAGTAAACGTAGGAAATTTTTCACCTTTCTAGGTCGTCCTGCGGGTCTTCCAGTGTGAATATAGCCACTCCTTGGGTTTCATAGAAGGCCGTCCTCGTCCTCTCTTCGTAACCACGACTCCACTTTCTACGTTAGCTTGTGGCGGTGGGTTGCAACATAAGAAGTAGCTCTCTTTGGTCTCCCTCGGCGTCTAACACCACCGTTAGCAACATAAGGTAACACCTAAGCTGGAGCTGAGACCACGGCCGGCTTCCTCTCTCTCCCAGCAGCTCTTCTACTCGGAGGCCGCCCTCTTTGTTTCGGAACATCCACACCGCCGGAAACATAGGCCCTCAGTGTCGGCAAAGCTCCATCTTTCCTAGAACGACTTCGGGGTCTCCTAATCAATGGTTGCAACTGAGCATGCAGTTGCAGTTGTTTCTCCGGTCGAGAAACAGGTAGTTCGTTATGTTCCCATGTGGGTTTTTCCTTTTGGAGGACGACCACGACCACGCTTCTGAGTAGATGATGGAGAAAGATCTGGTAATAGTTGGTTGTCCGTTGACTGAATTGTTACTCAAGTAAAATCAGATCTGGGAGGAGGTTCAAGAATCGTAGGTGTGCTAGTGGGAGGCGTAGTAGTTGCCAATTTGTAGGACTTCTTCGACATCACAAGAATACCATTGTTCTTGAGAGTCTTGAGATGGTGCGTCAACAGAGCTCCATGAGCAGGAGGTATCCCTGTGTAACTTCTCTCGATGTACCTCGAAATCGCTTGCTTGCTTGACCCATCTGGTTTGTTCAAAGCAGAGATCGGAGTGAAAATCATCTACAGAAACTAGTCGACAAGTAAGGTGACTCATTGAAACTAAAAGAAACTAAAAGAAATTAAATTGAGATGAGTTTACAAAAGGAGTAAAATGTTGGGATGCTCTTAAGATGCAAAAATTATTCTGTCATACTCTTACTTATTTTCACATACTCTTCTCTATTCTGATACTTTTCATATGGGTGTATAATGTCGAACGTGCCCATTCTATTTTTATTCATTTTTTCTTTTCCTATTTTGTTTGAATTTGGGTTTCTCTCTCCGCGGTTTTCATTTTTTTATTTTTGTGAGAGCTCAAATCAGCGATTCCAAATCTGCGGCTTCGAGCTGCTGATCGTCCCCAACCTAGGTAAAATCAAGTACATGTAAAGCATTATCTGGGTCTGTATCGAAGCATTTGATGATATATTATGTAGGTTAAATAGTAAATTTCATATTTGGGTCAATTCTCGAATTAGGGAGGAATGGGAAAGTGTGGATTATATGTATATATTCATGTATGTTAGGGAAGTGGATAATGAACAACTAGAAGGGAATGTCTAGAATAAAGCTGCGAATTGCTCAGAATTGTTAAGGTATTCTGATCGATCCGAGAAACGCCTAAACTAGAAAAGTGTAAATAGGGGAAACTTTGAGCGAAACTTTACTCCTTAACAAAAATGTGTAACACAGTATAACTTAGTATAAATTTAATAGCATAACTGTGTAACTTTGGTAAACTTAGTAAAAATTTACTAGCACAACTGTATAACTTTGGTTAACTTTTAATGATTTTTTTGTACAACAGACAATGAGGTATTCTTCTACAAACATACACTTTGACTATGATGGACATTATGCAAAATCTGGAGATGATTATGAATGAATTCCAAGCGATGGTCGTTTGTATGCTATATCCTTAAGACGTCATCATTGGATGAGATCACTTACTCGTTTTTGAAAGGGAGGATATGCAAGAGGAAGACCATTTATTTGTGTAATAAGAGTCTGAATCTTAGTTACATTCCACTGGTAGTAAAACCTAAGAGGAAATCATATATTTTGGATGATGAAGATGTGTTTATGTATTTGACATCAATGGATAAAGAGCGAAGGAGTATTTTGCATGTAGAAGTCATAGAAAACATGGAAATAGTTCCAGTAACGGAACAACAATCAAGAGTTGAGAAAGAAAGCTCATATGGTGGGAACTATAGTGAGATTGGGAGTGGATTACCCGAAGTTGAAGGTTATCCGGGTACACTAACTCTGTTAACTCCCATTGAAGGAGCAGAACGATATCTAGAGGGGACTGAGCGGGTGGAGAATATTGTGAATGGAGATGCTGACGAAGAGGGCATTGGTTTGGATAACAGGGACAGCGTGAACAATGAGGGCGACATGGATAACTCTATGGGTATTGGTGTTATTTTCGACTATGTTGAGCTGCCACGTGTTGCAAAAGAAACTCCAGTTGTTACTGAGTGGAAAGATGGTTTGGATATTGTGGTGTTTCAAGAATTTCCGAGTAAATTAGATGTGAAAGATTTAATTGATAAAGGATCACAGCATAACAGTTTTGGAATCAGTATCGTGAACTCGGATAAGAGTCGATATGTGGTGAAATCTCAGGGAGTGGATGAAGGTTGTAAATGGGGTGTGAGAGTTAAATAATTCTAAATCGTTCTCGATTAGAACAAACATAAAGATGTATCCATGCTCTCGCACAACTTCAAGTACTGGAGTCAAAAGGAAAGGTACACCTAGATGTGTTGCAGCTATACTGCATGGTGATTTTCCGGGACTATTTGATAAGCCAAAACCAAAAACCCTGCGTGGAGTGGTCCAAAGAAGATTGGGTATCGAAGTGTCGTATGCGACGGTTCGGAACGAAAAAAAAAACAAGATATTGAGGATATCCGTGGTAGTCCAAAGGAAGGATACAGGAAATTACCTTCTTACTTGTATATGTTTGAGAAGGTGAACCCTGATTCAAAAGTAAGTTTTGTATTAGATGATGGAAAAAGGTTCAAATACCTATTTGCTGCGTTGGGAGCTTCCATTGAAGGGTTTTAGTACATTAGGAAAGTCATCATTGTGGATGCCACTTTTCTGAATATTGTTGAAGGTGGTGCTTTAATTATTTCCACGGCTCAGAATCCAAACCGTCACCATTATCCTTTAGCTTTTAGTGTCGTTGATGGGGACAAAAAAAAAGTTGGAATTGGTTATTCACAACATTGAAAACTGTTATGCCGGATTCGACTGAATTGGTGTTTGTTTCAGACAGAAATCCAAGTCTGATAAAATCCGTTGCTGAAGTGTATTCGATGGCTCAACATGGGTATTGTATCTGGCATCTATCACACAATGTGAAACTTCATGTCAAACAGGACATGGACGATGTTGCAGCACATTTCAGGAGAATTGCACAAATTTATTCAGAGGCTGAGTTTGAAAAGGAGTATCAAGAGTTTAGGGGGAGGTATCCATCGTGTGCTAAGTATCTTGATAAAAGTGTCGATATTAAAAAGTGGGCGAAATGTCATTTCCCCGATGCAAGGTACAACATAGACACCTCTAATTGTGCGGAGTCTTTGAATGCGCTTTTTGAAGAAGCACGGAAGATGTATTTACTGTCTGATGCTTGATATAGTTGTTGACAAAATAGCGGAGTGGTTCAACAGACATAGGAAAGCTGCAGCAGCCGGACCGTCAGCTTGAAAATTAGTTCCTTATGTGGAGTACAAAATGCATAAAAGAGTACGGAAAGGTGAAAAACTAGGGGTGATTCCGCTGAACACTTTTCAGCTTGAATACGGTGTTATTGGAATGGACGGGAAGACTTATATAGTTAATATGGATCTTAAAAGTTGCACCTGCAGGAAGTTGGATATAGATAAATACCCATGTGTCCATGCAATAGGCGCTGCCATAGCATGTTTGAAGCATGATAGACCAATAGCTATCTATGACATGTATGATATAATCTCGCCTTATTACTTGGTTAAAGTCTGGGCTTTGGCGTATCGAAGGATTGTATATCCAGTGCCTCATATGTCTGAATGGATGGTTCCAAAAGAAATCACAGAACAGTGTCCGTTACCGCCAGAGTACACAAAAAGAAAGGGAAGAAATCAGGAAAAAAAGGTTTTCTTCGGTTGGAGAACTTGGACCCTGTGCTAATAAGTATGTGCCTAACAGGAATTTGGGTTGCTGGTTCAACTGTTCGCTGGGAACTGAAGGGTCTCAAGGATCCCAAGGAACTGAAGGGACTCAAGGATCACAAGGGACTCAAGGGACTCAGGGATCACAAGGAACTCAAGGGACTCAAGGAACACAGGAAAACCAGAAATAACTTGGTGGAACCTGCGTTATATGATTGTAAAACTTGGTGATACCTGCGTTATATAATTGTAAAACTTGGTGATACCTTCGTTATATTTTTGTTTGTTTAGAGTAACTGATAATTTAAATTAAACTTTGCTCATGTTGCTTATTCATAATTTATCCATAGGATAATTATTTCGATGGAAATTTTAAATTCCGGAAAAATTATGTAAAAAATTTTAATTTCTGATTTGTATTCAGTCGGAAGGAAATACATTGCTATGCAATATTTTTTTCTCAAACTTCACCTTTTGGGATTAGAAAATTTTTATATATCACATTATCAAGATTATATCTACTTGATTCCATGAAAAATTCAGATACAATACTGCAATAAGTTGGTACATAACCATAAATTTTATCATCTAAGCACAGTAAAACTAAAAAATTGCAAAACCGAGGAAAGTAAAACTTTAAAGCTTTTTGTATATTTACAAACCATGTGAAACTTAAAGCACGGAAACCTTTCAAAATCTATCCCGCTCATATATTTTCAAATTTTCCCACTCATATTTTCCAAATTTTTCCGCTCCTCAAAATTATTGACGAATCGAAGAAGACATGTGTTTAAACCATATTTGTTTACTTTGTCCCATTTATTTTAACCAGATCTCTCTCTCTCTAAAACTTTCTCTCTTTATATTCGATTCGACAACTCTCAACCCCACTCAGAACCATGACTCATCCAAACAAGGAGCACAGCCAAATGAAGGCTTGAAGAGACACGACGACATGCTTGGGTTCGTGGCGGATGCCGAGTGCGGAATATCGACCTGCTTCCCTTGCAGGGGGGGGGGGAATCATCAATGAAGTGTCTCGTGAGCCAAAGTATCAAACCGATTTTGATACTTTGCCAGGGAGAAAATACTTCACCTGCGTAAATTTTGAGGTAAGTAATTGATAGTTTCAGGTTTTAAGTGCATATTTTGATAATTTTCTGGTTTTATGTGTAGAATGAGGGCTTCCATTTTCGTCAACCATGGGTTTTCTGTGTCCAGGAAGAGGTTAAAATGTTAAGGAAGCGTGTCGATGAGATGGCTGCAGAGATTGCTGAGCTTAAGGATAAGCTTACTCATTTATGACATGTGTCGGCGCTTTGTACTATCGTTCTTTCTACAATCGGTGGTTGTTGGTTTTTGCGTTTGCTTTACTTATGGATGGATGGATGTAACTCGTTATATCTTTTGATTTGAATGACTATATCTGATTTTTAATGAAGTTTCACCTACTTTACGCATTCACGAATTACTCTTGTTTCACTAAATTACTCTCGTTTCACTAAATTACACAAATACAAAAGTTAAATTTGGTATAAGTTCCACCTGATTATACTATAATTTCACCAAATTACACCAATACGAAAGTGAAATTTTGTAAGAGTTTCACCTGATTATACTCTAGTGTCACTAAATTACTCTGATTTCGCATTAACGAATTACTCTAGTTTCACTAAATTACTCTAGTTTCACTAAATTACAAAAATACGAAAGTGAAATTTGGTATAAGTTTCACCTGATTAACCTATAGTTTCACCAAATTACACAAATACGAAAGTGAAATTTGTAAGAGTTTCACCTTATACTTTAGTTTCACTAAATTACTGTGATTCTTCCCATTACCTCTCTTGCTGG